TATTTTCCTAATCCCATTTAAAATTCACTCAAATAAATCTCCCTTCAGAGAGGGGGATTACTAAGCCCCCTTCACTATTAATCCTATCACATTGTATTGCATCCAAACAAGGGTTTGGTGAGTCCCACGGATTGCTAATCCAATCTACCTTTCCAAACCCCCCAATCAAACATGGCCTTAATGTATTCTATTATGAGACTTAGGCTGTGTTTAGATGGGGACTCGAAAAGGGAAAGATTTCAAGATCCAAACACATACCTAATATATTTTCTATATATGGAGTCAAGCTATGCAGTGGGGACAACAGTGATTGTTGGGTATCCCGTGCGGTCCGTTTTGGGTTAAATTTTGATCTGAACGTTCATCTTTTAAGAAATAGAATACAATATATCTATAAAAAAAATAAAATTGATCAAATATCATAGCACTTTCACCAATCACATTTATAAATAATAAAAAAAAATAAATTGAAAAATATGATTGTAAATATAAAACTTAATACAAATATAATTAGACAAAGTGGTTTATAATATCTGATCAATTTAATTTTTTATAAATATATTATATTTGATATTTTTTAAAATAAATAATTTAAATTATTAAAATAAGACTTAAAACATGTCTCACGAGACGGACAACTGTCACCATTGTACCTACTACCCAACAGTAAGATGTCCATATTTTCTCAAAAATTAAAGGAGGTTTGATTTGACCTTACAAAAATTTAAGATACGTATGGGTGTTAAAAAAAAAATAATATAATAAATTAAGTGTATTTAAAAAGCTAGATTTGACATATTAATTTTTTTGAAAGTGAATGGAACTCAAATCTTGAAACAGAAGATGCCTCAATCAAATCATTCTAGCAAATTCATTTGAAAGTGAATTGAGTACAACTCTTATCGAAAAAAATAATTCATTTGAAAGCGAATGAATATATATCCACATTTAAAATTTGGGTAAATTATACTGACATCTCTTGAGTTTTATTTTTATTATAGTTCTTTTCTTACTTTTTAAAAATTATATTTTTTTTCTTAATGTTTAAAATTTTATTATAGATTTCTCTCTCAGTAATTTAATTTTTTTAAATATCAATTTTACCCTCACTAGGTAAATTACATTGATACCCCTCACATTTTAGAAATTACAATCTCCTCCTTAAAGTTTAAAGTAGCATTATCAATTGCCCTCTCGGTTAGTATTAATTGGAAAAAAAAATCGTTGAAAAAAAATTAATTAGAAAAAAAAATTATTTGAAAAAAAAATTAATTGAAAAAAATTTTGTTCGTAAAATTTTTAACTTTCTGATTAAAAACCAACGTAAACTCATTTTTTGAATTTACGTTTTTTCCTCAAATTTACAAACTGAGACAACTATTTATAAACTAAAAAAATTATCAAACAAGTTTTTATTTTTGAAAGTGAATGGAACTCAAATCTTGAAACAGAAGATGCCTCAATCAAATCATTCTAGCAAATTCATTTGAAAGTGAATTGAGTACAACTCTTATCGAAAAAAATAATTCATTTGAAAGCGAATGAATATAAATCCACATTTAAAATTTAGGTAAATTAAACTGACATCTCTTAAGTTTTATTTTTATTATAGTTCTCTTTTTACTTTTTAAAAATTATATTTTTTTCTTAATATTTAAAATTTCATTACACATTTCTCTCTCAGTAATTTAATTTTTTTTAAATATCAATTTTGTCCTCACTAGGTAAATTACATTGATACCCCCTCACATTTTAGAAATTACAATCTCCTTCTTAAAGTTTAAAGTAACATTATCAATTACCCTTTCGGCTAGTATTAGTTGGAAAAAAAAATTGTTGAAAAAAAATTAATTGGGAAAAAAATTATTTGAAAAAAAAATTAATAAAAAAAAATTTTGTTCGTAAAATTTTTAACTTTCTGATTAAAAACCAACGTAAACTCATTTTTTAAATTTACGTTTTTTCCTCAAATTTACCAACTGAGACAGCTATTTATAAATCAAAAAAATTATCAAACAAGTTTTTATGATAGTTTTTTTAATTTTTGTAAATATAAATTGAAAACTGAAAATGAAGTGGTTACTAAACAGGTTTTAGAAGGTAAAAATGTCGTAAAATTAGTAAATAATTAAATAAGTTACCAACGTAAGAAATGACTTATCAAAAGATTCTTAGGCTATGTATAGTTTGATTTTTAGAATTTTTTTTAAAAAATTAAAAATTAATTTGGTTTAGAAATAAAGAATAAAAAATAATTATCATTTAAGAGTAGAAAATAATTATCATTTTAAATTTTGGACAGGTTATATACATACGTATAGTTGTTTCAATTTAATTTGTAAAAAATTATTTCTAACCACTCGAAAGATAAAAATTATATAAAAATGATAATTATTTTTTATTTTTTATTTCTTAACCAAATTAATTTTAAATTTTTTTAAAATAATTCTAAAAATCAAGTCATACATAGCCTAAGAATCTTTTGATAAATCATTTCTTACGTTGGTAACTTATTTAATTATTTGCTAATTTTACGATATTTTTACCATCCGAAGCCTATTTGGTAACCATTTCGTTTTTAGTTTTCAATTTATATTTACAAAAATTTAAAAAACTATCATAAAAACTTGTTTGATAATTTTTTTGGTTTATAAATAGTTGTCTCAATTTGAAAATTTGAGAAAAAAAACATAAATTCAAAAAATGAGTTTACGCTAATTTTTAAACAGAAATTTAAAAATTTTACAAACAATTTTCAATTAATTTTTTTTTTCAAATAATTTTTTTCCCAATTAATTTTTTTTTGAATGATTTTTTTTTTTCTAACTAATACTAACTGATGGGACAATTGATAATGTTACGTTAAACCTTAGGGAGTGGATTGTAATTTCTAAAATGTGAGAGGTGTCAATGTAATTTACCCAGTGAGGGCAAACTTGGTATTTAAAAAAATTAAATTGCTGAGAGGGAAATCTGTAATAAAACTTTAAATTTCAGAGAGAAAGATGTAATTTTTAAAAGGTGAAAGAGAGAACTGTAATAAATATAAATCTCAGAGATGTCAGTGTAATTTACCCTTAAAATTTTAATATAAAATAATCAGAATATACACGTAATTTGCAGGGCTAAATAGTGAAAATCCAATCAATACGTTGTCACACGTAGAAAGAGAAGATTGGTAACAATACATTCCATTTGAATAAAATAATTGTTTCTAACCGGGTGGGTGGTATTATAGTTAAGGCTTGAGATTTAAGTCTTAAGATTACAGGTTCAATTCTCTTATTTTCTGGGCGAAACATAGTTGGTTAGGCGGTTAGACCTCAAGTTGTCTAATCAGCACTTGGCGTGGGTTCAATGCTCCCCCGCTGTGCGAGTCCTGACTTAAGCGGAGCTTGTCTTGGGAGGTCAGGACAAGTTCTCAGGTTATAGTCTCCTCGCTCGGAACGACTAACAGGACACCCTGGTGATCTCTGCAAGGGGCTCTGTCTTAAACCTGCGGGAAGGTAGGGAGAATTTTCGTGTAACAAAAAATAATAATAATAATAATAATAATAATAATTTGCTTGTAAATGTGAACATTGATCCTCTGGGCCAACCATATGCATAAGACTTGTCTCTTACCAAATAGTAAGAATGATTGTGTATTTATTTATTTATTTATTTTGAGTGTATTTTAACCAATTCATTGAAGATATTGTGACGAAAGCATAAAAATGTAAAAACTAGGCCCTCAAAAAAAATATTTAGAAAATGATGTGCATATATTTGTGTAAATTGTACTGTTGGTCCTAATAGTTTTGAGCCAAATTTTAATTTGGCCCCCACAGTTTGAATTTCATTGATTTAGATCTAATACTTTCAATTACATTTTAATGTGGTCTCCCCTTAGTTATTGTTAGCATTTTGAACCCAAAAAAAAAAGACAACATGCAACTCACATGGAAAATTATATGGTTGATTTTTATAATTTGTTGCGAATTTCAATTTAGCCTCTCTAGCTTCGCACATATTATTGTTTTTTCATCTAAAATGTTAACACAATTGATGGGTAGACCACATCAAAACAAAATTACAAGTGTAAAATTTAAATTAATAAAACTGAAATTACTGGGACCAAAAATAAATTTTTGCTCAATTTAGAGAGACCAATAGTGTAATATACCTTACATATTAAATTAGTATGATATGAACGACCATTAGAACAAATCTAGTCTATATATTTTATTTTTTGACAAATTACACATGTTATCTTTATAATTTGCCTATTGTGTCAATTTTGTACTTGTAATTCTAATTGCATTAATTTTATCTTGAATTTTTCACATTATGTTAATTTTTTTTTTTTTTTTGTTACAGGGAAATCTTCTCACCCTCCCGCAGGTCTAAGGCAGCGCCCCATGAGGAGATCACAAGGGTGTCCTGTTGTCCGTTCCGAGTAAGAGACTATAACATGAAAGCTTGTCCCGACCTCCCAAGCAAGCTCCGATTAAGTCAGGACTCGCACAGCGGGGGAGCATTAAACCCACACCAAGTAGGCATCCTTGAGGTCCGTTCCGAGTAAGAGACTATAACCTGAAAGCTTGTCCCGACCTCCCAAGCAAGCTCCGATTAAGTCAGGACTCGCACAGCGGGGGAGCATTAAACCCACACCAAGTAGGCATCCTTGAGGTCCAACCTCCTAACCAACAGTGCCTCGCCCAGGAGATTGGCCCAAAGGGAGAATTGAATTTGTGACCTTGGAACTTAAACCCCAAGGCCTTACCACAATGCCACAACCCCCTGGGTTACATTATGTTAACTTAATCCAGCTGATAGTATTCCTTGAGAAATTGAATTGAAATTAAAGGATAAAATAATTTATTCATTCTCCTCAAATTAATTAACCATTTTGTTCTTAATTTCTATCCAATTTCATAACAGATGTAAATTACAAAATTAATTAAAGAAAAAATTAATTCAGTTAAAATTACAAACACCAAATCAACACAAGATGTAAATTAGAAGGATCACGCATATAATTTACTCTTTATTTATTTTTTTAACACTTAAATTTTCTTGGGGTGTAGTGCACAAGAAAACATTTTTGGTGATGTAAAGCTCATTCTGAGGTGAGAGAAGGAATCAGAGTTCTTGTCCATTTGTGACTGAACACAAGATTGATCAGAATATTCAAAACCCCCAAGGTGATAGATATATCCAGAAGTAAGGGCCAAAAATCTGAATGAGGGCATAACCTTTTACACCCCAAAATGTAAAAATGAAAAGAAATAAAGATTCACATGCATCATTTTACTCTGTTGAGTGTACTTTACAACATTCTACATATTTACCATTGCCAAGCTGTATATAATAAGCAAAGCAGGAGGGAGGAACCATGGCCACAAACCCTTGTGGTCCATCTCAATCTCTTCTTCTCATCTGAGAGAGGCAGAGAGACAGAGAGAGGGTAAATATATATGGGGGAGCTGAGGAGCTCCTTTCGGTCCAATGACGAGGGCTGAGGAGCGGCAAGAGCTGTCATCTCATGCATTTGGCTACGCTTAGTATTTGCCGAGAGGCATGGAGGGAGGAGATGGAATGATCACTTCTACTCTGCATGAGACAACAAGTAAAATGTCAAGTTTAGCCAGATGCATGATGTGGGAGCAACTCCTTCCGTCTACTTCGCCCGCATATTGGACTGAAGGGAGCTCCCGGTTTCAAACAAGGTTCTGTGTTTTGCAATAAGATGAGCAACTCCAACAGACTCTTCAACTGAGGCCTGCTAGGTAAAATATTTAGTCATTTTTATTTTTTACAACTCCCTAAATACAAAGTTAATTTACTTCCCTAGGAATACTCTCTTCTTTCTCTCTATCTCTAACACTGACTTGGCATAGTATGCCATAAAACACTATCAATCATAAATTAGTTTAGTATAGAACTAGATAGAGAGTAGTGGTCGAGTATTTACTAAATGGGTGTTTGGTAAGTTGACTACTTTAATAGGTTAGAATAGTTGTGTTTAGAAAGAGATTTAAATTTTTTTATAGTTTGATGTGATTTTGTGAGAGAAAAAATGAAATGATTATGAATTTGATGTGACATTTTATCTTGTTAACTATTTTAATCTATATTGTCTTTTAATGTATCTTATCCAAAAAAACCAAAACTTTTTCTTCCCAAAAAATGAGTAGCTAAAATAAATATTAGTGTTGGAGCTATTAGTTTTAAGGTTTACCGTATTAGTATTTTTTGCATCATTAATTGTTTTCCATAACATTCCTGTTATTGTTGTACTTCTCTTCATTTTCTCTTTAACTTCCCATCTTTTCCGAGTTCTGTCCGATTGACAGGAACATGTAGAGAAGGGACTGAGTATATTACCTCACAGTTGCAGCAGCTGATGAATAAATGCTTTCCACAGCAAAGAAGCTTAGCTCCAAATGCACCTTCTGGGAAATGGAAAGCTCTCCTGCAGCACATATGTTGTGTGAGTGCAAGAAAGAAGAGGAGGGGGAGGTGACATGTTACAAGTTCATCACTACAGGCTTTGCAGGGTACTTACAGCTAAATACCCATCAACTTGAGTTTTGAACAGGACACGAGATCTTTTGTCTCTAAATCTCTCTGTGCATCTGTTCCAATTCACTCCTAACTGTTGAATTATACCCATTGAAAGTGCATTAAATAGAGAGATAGTAAAATTTGAGAACAGAGCATCTTTGACCCTTGAATGGGAGAAAGGAATGAAGGGAGAGTACATGTTGATCATATAGTAGAAATGAAAACCAAAGTAGCTAAGCATAGATGGGCTACATGGATTGAGTTTTGATGCTTTTGAAAGTGTACAGTCTACCACACAAGTTTTTGTTAATTTTTATTTTATTTTCAAAAAGTTGGCCCTACCGCTGGTCTAAATGTATTACTTTTAAAGAAACTCATTTTGATCTCTACGAACTATTAACTTTTTAATACCTCATACATTTCTTGGAATATTTTTAACGTATTCTGACCGTTAAATCTCTTTGCATAAAGCCACAAGGACGCTTGTCTAAATGTATTACTTTTGAAGAAACTCCTTTTGATCTTTATGAACTTTTAACCTTTAATACCTCCAACATTTCTTAGAATATGTTTTAATGTATTCTGACCGTTAAATCTTTTTGCATAAAGTGACACAGATAAAATTTTTAAATAATATTTATTTTTTTGTACACATGATTTTTGCAATGAGTCTCATCAGTTAATAATTTCACTTTTATACAAAATGCTAAATATGAAAGTATTACACATACACTATAATAAACTAACAACATGACCTTACCCAAGCATTGAAAACTATTATACTAAAAAAAATTAAAAATTAAAAAAATCATATGAAATTTGCCATTGACATTTTGGTAATTATGATAAATTAATATAAATAGGTCACATTGAATATTTGAAGTTCCTGTATAACATTAGTCAAGCAGTAATTTCTACATTATCATTTCTAATTAGAGGTAAACATACCGTTAAAGATTTAAACTAACGACAATAAACATGCTCTTTTACAACTTAAGTGAGCGTGCACGTAGTCATCCACCCAAAAAGTGAGCATGTAGTCTTTCTCCTCACAAAACAAAAATTATTGTCGACATATCTTGAGTCGCCAATTTAAAAGGTGCGTATCATATGTCCTAAACAAATATACTATAATTTTCCAAGCACTCACAATGATGAAGAAATTATGCAACATTATATGCTATAATGTGTATAGCTTGGGCTTCCCCCTTGGAACCTTAATTCAAAATGTGGCCAAATTTCAAGTGACAAAATACAAAAGAATACTTTCGGCAGCAATTGCATTCAACATATAAAAGCACATCCTATTATTTAAATTGTTAAAATAAACTAAATGTTCTATTTAATAGAGAAGGAAGATTAACATCCAGAATTTTGTTTCATAGCATTTTCAACTCCAAGTTGTAGTAAGTTCAAGACCTCCCCTTCTACAACAACCAAAGAAACCTACTTCATCTTCTGAAGTCCTGGGTTCATTGCTTCTGTATAAATCTTATCGGAATTCAATCATAAAAATAAAAATGAAAACAAAAAAGCATAAGGCCAAAGCCAGAACCATTTGGCTCTAACATAACAAAAAAGAAAAGAAAGGAATGCCTGTTCACCACTCAGCTCTACCAAAAGTTATGTGGTCAGCTAAACTAAAGAAATTCATATATTTCTTCACTACAGCATCACATTTCAACTTAGGTCTATCTACTCTCCCTCGCATCATCTATATTTATAGTAATCTTATCACTCTTTTTGACCATTGCATCTATAAATTTTCGTTGTACATGATCAAACTATCTTGACATGTTCTCTCCCAACTTATTGAAGGTGTTACTCCTACCATTTCACAAATATATTCATGTTTAATTCTAACTTTTCTAATCTTATCACACATCTATGTAAGCATTCTCGTCCTAGCTACACTCATTTTTATAAACATGTTATTTTTTCGTTACCCAACAATCTGCCCCATGAAGCATCTTTGGCCTTATAGCAATTCTATAAAATTTTCCTTCCAATTTAGTTGGTATTCGACGTTATATGGTTCACTAGCTCACCAAATTCTATCACCTGCAAGAAGCACAATTAGTTTTCTTCAATGTATCATCCTTCAAAAATTCTGTTTTGTTACATGCATAGCTTTGTCACAATTCACTCAACCAAAACCAAGAGAAGACTCATAAACAATCTATATAGGACAGAGTTTTGCAGTTTAAATTCCCGCAACTAAATTACAAGCATTACTACAATGAAATTAGTGGATAAACAGTAACAAGTCTTTTTCTAATCCAATTACAACAATAAACACAAGCAACTACAATAAACAGTGATTTCAGAGGAGGTAAGACAGTGAAAATACCAAATGGAGATTAATAATGAAATATTTTGGCACAAGTTCTAAAAATCTATCACATTATTTATTTTCAACATAGAAAGTAATCCAATACCTACATTGAAGACAGTCATTGGGACTCAAACCTTTGTACCTTGATTGACAGAAAAATCAATGGAGAGTAAATCATCACCAACAAACAAACCCTAGACAGAGAAAGATAGAGAAAAGAGAGGGGAAGAGGGAACGGGCACGGACCGTGAAAGGTGCAAATACAAATTCTGTCCTCACGTTTGAGAAATTGCTTCTCATCTCTTAAGGTTTCCGATCAATAACAAATGATCCCTCCATTAGGCTCAGTTTGGTAAGATTGATAATACAGTAAAGTGAAAGAATAAGAAACAAAATAATTTATTTTTTTTATGTGTTTGTTTAGATAGAGAGTCCTAGAAAATAATGAAAACTCAAATTTTATATAAACTCAAATTAGTTACTTAATAATTTCTTATAAAACATATGCAAGAAAATTTAATTTTTTCACAAATTTTGGCAAAATTTATTTTGTTTACCTTTTTATCCATATTTCTCTTCACAATTTCTTATTATGCAGTGATAATTTTTTTTTTCTATCATTTTCTTATAAAAAATTTTATTGATTTAAATGCATGTAAGAAAATAAATTTTTATTTATTTTTCCTTTATTTCACTTCACTTTTTATCATTTTCATTTTCTATCTTCCGCTTTCTTTCTAAGGCTAAGTTTGACATACAAAAAATAATTCATCTTTTTATCTTTTTTTCATCATATCACCTCTCTACTTTTTTACACATCTTTTCATAAAATAACAAAAAATACACTTATTTAGATTATCCCAAATAATCCCTAAATAAATAGAGCCTTGTAAGTTGTTAGGTCAAACAAACTAAGTTGTTTTAACCTGGTGGGGTTGGCCTTGGCTTGAGTTTGGGGTTTAGGACTCTGCTCCCTCTAAAGCCTCGTTTGGGAACCAGGCCATTTAGCTAAAAAGTCAAAAAGTTACTAAAAAAGCTAAAAAATCAATAACTCATACCAAAAAGTCAAAAATTCCCTTTTCTTTTTACATTTTGCACATCTTTTCGTAAAAAGTCAAAAAGTCATCCCAAACATACTAGTTTTTTTTAGCTCATATTTTAGCCAAATAGCTAAAAAATTACTAAATTAGCATGTTCCCAAACAAGGCCTAAGTCTCAGATTTGATTCCCCCAACTAATATAAAACCCTTGAGGCCATGGACTGTAGGAAATTTATTTCAAAAGACCTGTTCGAACTGTAAAGATAGTTTAATATGCAAAAATTGGCCCAAGATAGCCTATCAAAATAAATAAATAAATAAATTATTTTAAATATGACTTATAAGTTGATTTTTTTGCTTATTACAGAAAGACGTATAGCAAAAATAGAGAGGTGATATTATAGAAATAAGTCAATAAATAACTTATTTATGATAATATTGCCAAACCAAGCCAGAATGTAAGACAGAAACAACAATAAAAACAAAAATCATAAATACTTATATTAATATTCATAAAGTTAAACATTTTATTTTATTTTTTCTTTTTCCTATTCTACTTTTTTTGAAACTCCATTTTCTTTGATTTAAAGAACGCATCTCCAAGCCTCAAAAAAATTAACTTTTTTTTTGTCCCGGTGGAGTGGTTTATTAGCCAATTTTTCTTTTTTTGTTTATTATGAAAAAAAGTATAAAAATTAAAGAGATAAAATGACTTAAATAAGTCAAAAAATTAACAAAACGACTTATAAGTCACTTTTTAAAAAGGACAAATAAATTGAAAATTTTTATTAAAAAAATTACTAATATTGTAAATTGTCAAAATACGAGTAATAATTTAACGTTAAAAATTGTAAAAAAAGTTTTGACGAATGAGGTACAAGTGAAGTGAACTAATAGGAAAAAATAAATATAAAATTTTCATGAGTATCCTAGTTATTGTGGTAATTGCTCAGTTTGTGTTCAATAGTTATTTTACGCAATTTATACCCCTACAAAAGAAAGATAATTAGGGAGTTTTGACTAGAGCTCCATCGTTACAAGTTTCTACTAGTCCAAAGGTCTAAATAAAAAAAATTCTTAGATTCAATCCTCTATTTTTTTTAAGACCATATTATCCCTTCCCAAAAGAAATGTTGTCCCTTTTTTAATTACATCCTACAGACATTTTTAGAATTATTAAAAAAAATTAAAATTCAATAAATTTTTGTCTAGATCATCCTTTTATGTAAAATTTGATTTTGTTTTCTTTTTAATTATCTCATCAAGATTTATCAAACAAAACTAATAATAAATGTTGGGGAAATCCCACATCGCCTGAGAGGGACACTTGCAACTAACTTATAAGCGTACTGGCTCCCTCCACCTTGTAAGAGGCCTTTTAAAGCCGTGAGGCCGACGAACGTCATTTCGCCACCTCGCCAGAGCAGACAGTATCTTACTGGGGCGCAAGAAGCCAGTCACATCAATTTGGTGGCCTATGCAGGTCGTCCGACAAACTCTCCCGCTGTTCACGGCCCAGTTCGCTAGGGGTTATGTTGGGGCAATCCCACATCACCTGGAAGGGACACTTACAACCAATTTATAAGCGTACTAACCCCCTCCACCTTGTAAGAGGCCTTTTAAAGCCGTAAGGCCGACGAGCGTCGTTTCGCCACCTTGCCAGAGCGGACAATATTTTACCGGGCGCACGAGAAACCAGCCACGTCAATAAATATGAAATTTTGAATAAAAAAAAAATTACAAAATTTCTCTCTATGTTGCTATTAACAAACAAAAATTTCAAAATTTATGACTAATTTGAAAATTTGAGTACCTAATTTCAAATGAGGGTTAAAATTTCAAATAAAAAGTTAGTACAATTTCAATTCAGTTATTAAAATTTTCTAAAAATAGAGAAATTTCTTTGTTTTTGGTACATAGAGAAATTTATCTATTTTGTGGTTAAAAAGGCAAAATTAATTGCCAAAGGCCACCATTCTCTAATAAATCATTTCAAACAAGCCAAACCAAGTAAAAAAAATGTGTGTAAAAGAAAGGTTTCCTAAATATAGTCGTCCATAATTTCATACTCTAAATTCTAACTATACTACCTTCGTTGTTATTGCTTGAGAGCATACGTATGTTTAAATTCCAAAATTATACTAAACAACAGGAAAAAAAAAACAAAAAAAACAAAAAACAAAAAGAGGTTGCATTACCAAGGAATTGTTGCATTTATAGGTGGTGTTTGGGAAGAATTTCTTGGGCTAAATTAGCCATGTAAGGACAAAAAAGTTGATTTTAGCCACATAGAGACAAAAACTTCATAATCACTTGCCACCAACCATTGTCAAGGTAAATTTACAAATCTACTCCCACATGAGAGAGGGGCATCACCACAAAAGCTTCACAGTCACTTCTCAAAAAACACCTATTTTCAAAAAAATACACAGGACGTTGAAAAAAAAAAAATTTTAAAAACATTTTTTTGGTTTTTGTTAAAATATTTTATAAAAATAAATTCAAACTCTATTTATAAAAATATTTTTAAATATTTTTAAATATTTTAAATTTTTTTATTATGTATTTGATTATTTTTTGAGTGTAGAGTTGTGAAAGTAGTATGGAGTGGGTTGGTTTTTTGACTTTTTAGCTATTTTGAGGTTAAAAAGTCTGGTTTGGGAAGAGTTTTTTGACTTTTTGACTTTTTTAATTTTTTTTTTTGTGAGAGAGGAGTGTAATGATTATGGATTAGATTTGATGTTTTATTTTTTGTGACTAAAATAACCTATTTTATTTTTTATGGCTATTTTAGTCCCTAACCCACCAAAACCAACTTCTCAAGACTTTTGTGTACTACATATTTTAGTTTTGTGCTATTTTTTATAAAACATTTAATTGTTGGTATAAAAAATTTAGGAGAAATTACAACCCAAAAATAAATAAAACACAATGTTTAAGTATTGTAACAAAATAAATTCCGAGTTTTTTATTTTGTCAGTCATTAAACTTAATGAAGAAAAAGATATTTTATATATTTTATGTATACTTATATTGATTTTAATGACTAAATATTCTTTTTCTATTATTTTATTTAACAAAAATAAGCAAATGATTTAGATTGCAAAACAAATTAAAAAATTATACTGTAATTTAAATTTATTAAATTAAAAATTAAAAATTTATTTTATTACAAGTGTCAAATTTTAGAATTTTTTTTTATCGTCCCAAAATTTTAAGTTATTTAGTAATTGAAATGAATATACTTGCCTATTCCATGATTGTGCCTCTCAATTTTGTCTTACTCTTTTTGTCTCAATATCATATATTAAAGAATGTGGACACATTTTCAAAAAACAAAAGTCTAGTCACTTTTATTATTATTATTATTTTTTATTAGTAATATTATAAATTCGGACTTAATTATTTAAATTATCAACTTGTTATTCAAATTTATTCTACATATAAATCTTACACTATACAAATTTAATTTCCACCACATAAATATTCACTCAAAAAATTCTAAATAAATATCTCTAAATTTTTAAACTTTTCGTATTTATATTGATGTATACGTCTTAAGCATGTTTCATAGTGAAAATATCAATGCAAATAGGAAAAGTCTAAAAATGCAGAGATATCTATCTATCTATCAACTTGAGCTTTGCTCAGACAAATACTCTAACATCATACTAATATAAAACTCACATGTTGCATTAGCATTATTTAAAGAAAAATATTGTAGAGAGTCTTAAGAGTTGTCATTAATCTTATAAAATGTGTAAAAAATACATAAATATATGAAAAAAAAATATTAAAATTTGTAAAAGTGTATGAAGATCATAAATATTTTGTTTTTATTTGTTTCCTATTAACAATCATTAAGACTGTCATTAATATGACCCTTATATAAATAGTTTTTTATTTATTAGTCCTTGCGCTTGTTATTATTGAGATCATGGACCATGTTAGTTTAATTTTAGACTATGAGATCGAGTAACTATTGAGCTTAATTAACTTTTAAAATCCTTAAACTTGATTATTTGACTTTCTACATTTGATTAATTATATTTTGTACTATTGCTACTGAGTTATGCACGTCTGAATGTAAAAATTATCGTTTGAGCAGAGTTATTTTTGTAATTGATTTGTCAAAGCATTTATCATTCAAATGCAAGGCTATTCATTTGGATGTTGTGATTATTTTTTAGACAAAGTTAAGCACTTGTTTAAAATTTCTATAAACTTGTATTTTTATTTTTTTTAAAAGGACTATTATACATTTGAGTGTACAAATAAATTTTTTGGTGTTATTCAAATGCCCACTATCCATTTTTTCTTAACAATATTAAATTTTTAAAATTCAACTGGTTTACCTTCAAAAATGAAACAAGTTTTATACCAAATTAATAACAAAACCATACTCAAATAATTAATTTTATAATACATATAGAGTTAACAAGTCAAACTTAAAATATTAACATACTCTAAAATAAGTTAAAAGATAATTTAAGCCTATTTTGAGAAGTAAAAAGAAGTTAATATTTTAGCCTTTTTTATATATTTTTAAAAAATTGTGTAAAAAAAAATAGAGAAATAATATAAGCCTAATAAAACAATAAACTTGCTTCTTTTTTTTTTCTAATTGTCAAAATAGACCTTAAATATATAACAAGTTAATTTATACTCGGTTTGAGATGTCCTAAAAATGTCAATTTTTTGTTAAATAAGTAAAATCAAAAAAAAAAATCAAAAAGTACACTTATCATAAGTTAAAAAAATCAAAAAAAATCATTCAACTTTCTATAAATAAAAAAACAAGCAAACCAACAAACAATATCACTCAACTTTTCAAACGCATAATTTTATTAAAATTTTACAATTTTTTTTTATTTCTTTTAAAATGAAAAATTACATTTACCGTCCCTATAATTTGGGATTCATGTCATTTTAGTCTATAATTTTTCAATTTCGACATATTTGATTCTGAATTTTTACTCTTGTTTTAAATAAAAACAATTGAAAATATCATTACACAATTTGAAAATATCACCCATTATATGATTATCATTCAAAAACATAATAAAAATTAATTTAATAAATAAATAAATATTTAAAAAAATTATTAATTTTACATAATTTTATCTTTAGTGGATAGAAATAATTTTTAAAATATTTTTTCATATTTATTTTTATCAAATTAACAATATTACCCTTAAAATTAAGTAATGATATCTCAAATTATCCTTATTTAGAATAAAATTTAAAATTTAAAATCAAATGTGTCACAATTGAAAAATTAATAATCAAAGTAAAACAAAATCTAAACTAAAAAAATCATTAACGTAATTCATCCTTTAAAAAAAAAAAAAACCTATTATTTTAAATAAAAGATCAAATCGGTGATTTTATCTTCCAATGGTGTATATATATGCATAAAATAAAAGATTGAACTATCCTGTTAGGGCCTGTCAAATTCATCACGAGTTTAATTTTGATAATTTGAATCATTTATTGTATAAAATTCGTTAAATACTTTATTTCTATAAAAAAATCACGTTAATCGAATATTGATAATTACTTGATCGGATTAAATTTTGTCAATAATTTATTTTAAAAATTATATTTATCTTTGAAAAAAATATGATTCGATCAATTAAATATCAATATCCGATCAACATAATTTTTTACAAAAATAAAATACTTAACAAATTTTACACATTAAATATTTCAAATCATCAAAACAAAACTCGTGACCTTGGACTGAAAGCCTGGCCCTAAAATAAAAATTACTTAGCCTCCGTTTGGGAAGTGGGTTGGCTTTTTGGCTTTTTGGCTTTTTTGGCTATTTTAGCCTGGGCTAAAAAGTTTGGTTTGGGAAGGGCTTTTTGGCTTTTTGGCTTTTTTGATTTTTTTTGTGAGAGAAGAGTGTAATGATTATGGGTTGGATGTGATGTTTTGTTTATTGTGACTAAAATAGCCTGTTTTGTCTTTTGTGGCTATTTTAGCCCCAACCCAACTTGCCAAACACCACCTTAGAAGCATTGCATGAGGATTAAAACCTACAACCTCATTAAACAAACATAATTATTATAAAAAATAATAAATAAATAAAAAAGGAAACTGATTTTATCAGAAAGAATGATTGTAATTTGTATCCCACTAGTTTTCGAACCATTTAGGACATCCGCAGTGGAACTGCTAAGAAGAATTTTAGGTCAAGTTTGGAAAGATTAAATAAGTATATTTTTTGACTTTTTATGAAATATGAATTGGATTTGAATTGAGTTTGAAATGATGTGTTAGAGAGTTAATGTGACTTAAATGAGATGATGTGACTTAAATAGGATAGTGACTTTTTGACTTTTTAGATTTTTTGAAAGATGCCAAACTTGACCTTAGTGTTAGTAAAGTGTTTTGTTAGGTGTTACAGTGAATCAGTTAGTGTGTGTTAGTGGTGTATGTTAATTGTGTGTGTTAAAAAATTTGTTAATTACGGCTAGCGCTTTAACTGGCACTTGAAAGTGTTTTGTTTGTCTTTCGGATTGACCGACCGGTTGACCCGGTCAACGAAATTTTATTTATATTTATTTATTTATTTACTTGTTGAGATTTTTTTTGGACTTAAAATTTAATTTTGCACTTAAAATTTTTTATTAAACTAAATTATTTATTTATTATATATACATATATATATATATATATATATTTAACACACATCTTAACACAACCCTTAATACATCCATTATACCACCACTCACTCTCTAAAATTAACAAACTCTTAACACATTTTAACAAATATTTTTGGAGCTCCACTTTTATTACTTTTTGTTATATAACACACCTTAACAAACAATTTTGATTATCCCATTATGGATGCCCTTACTGTTTCAAGTTAAAGTCAAAAAAAACAAAAAAGGGAAGGAAAATGAACAAGAATTAAATAAACAAAAACAAAAAGAGCAACACTCTGTGACAGAGCATCTATCTGAGCCGCCAAAACTAGTTTTATCTACGGGGCAAAAACGCATCGTTTTGTAAGGCTACACTACACTAGTGCAAGGACAATTCAGTTCCAAACTCAACCTCACACGTGTCCTCCGATGAACCGTCGATCCCCTCTTCCCCAGTCTACACCAACCCTTCTCCAGTCTCAGCCCTCACATACGGCTCAAAGCCGAGAGTCAGCTCCAACTCAACATCGCTACAATCCGGCTTAACCGCCGCCAGAGACGCCTCCACCGTCTCCACCGACATACTATCACCATCACCGCTCTCTCCTCCGTGACTTGGTGGCTCCTCCTGGTGACTCACCACCGAGTCATGACTCGCCGACTCTTTTTTATTCGACCAGCTCCACATGACCTGAGCCGCTTCATCAACAGACGGCTCCACTTCCACCTTCGGCTTCCCAGCAGCGCGCTTGAACCGGCTCCGACACTTCACCTTGTGCAGATCACGAGAAGCAGCCGAGCTCTCATCTTTGGACACGTGTCGGATATCGCAGGCCTTGAGAGGAGGACTCATGGTGCTCAATTCGGAGTCCGGAGAGAGTTGCACGATCGGCGAGCCGTGTAGAACGGCTTCGACGGCGGCGTGGCAGAGGTGCCAGTTTCCGGACCAGAGCAAGCCAGCCGCGCCGTAGATCGGGTTCACGATACGCCCACATGCTTCATATAGTAATGATCTAAAAATCGCTGTAATTCCCAATACAAATCTCTGGGTTATTTTTTAAGCGATAATTTGAATAGTGAAATTGAGAAAACTGAGAAGTGGAATTGGGAAATTACCGGGACGGAGGTGATCGGGGCCAGCATTGATGAGGTTTTGGAGGCCGGCACGGCCGTAGAACTTGGCGAGGAAGACGGTGGCGTTGGCTTGGGATTCGGGGGTTTTGATCCACTGTAGGCAGGGTCTTATGGTGCAGTTATCACTGCAGCCTTTGCGAAGGACTCTGCATCCATTACAGCTTACTCGCATGGCGGCTTCTACTATACTTAACACTTTCTAGAGAGAGAGAGAGAGAGAGAGAGAAGACTTTGGGTTTGGGTTTGGGTTTGGGGCAGGGGAGAGGAGGGGGAGGAGAGGAGATTTATATATGGGGAGATGTTTTCATTTCAGGACATGGGTTTGGAAGAGGGAGCGCAGTGGTTTCCCAGAGAGTGGTGGTGTGGGGCAAGGCTGGTTTCTTCACTCTTGCCCTTTATATTTGGGAAAGTTCATGTATGCATGGTGACATCTTCAATTTTATAGTAATAAATCTATAAAAATATATATTTTTTTTCTTATAGTAATAAATCAATCACCCAATTAGATACAAGTAAGACATGAATGGATTAAATTTTTATAAGATTCGACGATATTTATAGTCTTTTCAATTCTAAAGTTACAATAAACGATCACTATTACATTATCTAACGATTTATTATATATTTTTTAAATTTAATATAATAAATTTTCATCATTATTTCACAACAATTAGATGATACAATAAAAATCTTCTATTACAACCTCCTAAAAATACATCCCATCCAATTGTTTTTGAATTTTTAAACTTTTTATTTTAATAAATTGCATTGACTTACAATATACCCTCTTTATCATACACACTCATAAATTATGTTTTTTTTTTAATTATAATCAATTTTCTTCTTTATTATGAATTTATTTTAATTATGACTTATGAAATATTTGATTTTGACTTATGAAATATTTAGTTATGACATATGTATTATTTGGTTATAATTTTTTCTTATTATGACTTAAAAAATATAAAATTATATTACTTTCTTATTTAATTATAAAGTATAGGTATATACTCTTTAAAGGGTACAATACTGATTCAGTGCTCTAAAATGATAGTATTAATGCCAACTCTAATGAACTGACAATATAAGAACAGAAAAAAAAAAAGCCAAATTATCACATCAATATTGAGATCTACATAATATCACATCATTAATGATGTATTAATAATGTTAAATTAATGGTCTGAAATATTTTTATTAAAAGGTACACCATAATCGTTCCCATGGGAAGAAAGATGAATTTTTATGAAGAAATGAATGGGGGTATTTTGGTCTTTTAAAATATGGTAAATATGGGTGAAATTGAAGGGCTGCTGAAGAAAAGGGTAGGAAAGACATGCAAGTGAGTACAAAGGAACAACGCCACGCAGGAAACACGTGTCAAGAGGTCCAGTGATCAGAGTCTTGGCGGCTCGCCACATACCAAGGGGCACACCCCCCAAAACCATGCATTTCTTTTTTCCACGCGCCAATAGCATTTGAGTTACACTTACTAATGACCAAAACAAAAACAAAAAAAGGGTCATGAGACTCCTCCCATCACCGCCACCTACCCCTCTACGTGGCGGGGGTGATTGAAAAAAAAAAAAAAAATTGGTCAATCATGTTAAGAGGGAGTTAAAGGAGGTGAGAGAAAGGGAGTCTGGAATATTATTGAAAACAAAAAGCCACCTTCGAAAATTCACATTATGAAAAACTAGTCTATCACATGTGTTATGTATCGGATAATTATAAATATTTATATTTATTTTAGATTTTTTATAAAAATAATTTAACAATCTTATTACTAACTATAGTATCTGAGAGAAATTGAAAATAGTGCTGCAATAACTATGCACGGGTTGTATTTAGGGGTTGTTTGGGATGTCCTAAATAAGTACACTTTTTGTCTTTTTTGACTAAAAAATTGAGTAAGAAAATATAGATGTTTAGATTAACTTTTTGACTTTTTATGAAAAAAAATGTGTAATAAAAAATTGTAAAAATTAGTTTGTAGGAGAAAATTATGATTGGGAGTTGTGCGGCCGTAATTATTGACTTTTGATGAATAGTGTTAACTTTTTAACTTTTTGAGTAATTTTTTAACTTTTTGGCTTTTCTTGAACATACCAAACTTAGGCCTCGTTTGGCATAACCTATATAATCCATCTTTTTATCTTTTTATCTTTTTTCCATCACATCACCTCTCTACTTTTCTGCACATCTTTTCGTAAAAAGACAAAAAGTGCACTTTTTTAGGACACCCCAAACCAACCCTTAGCCTTATAATTATCTGTATGAAGGGATTTTGACCAAAGCTCTCAAAAGGCATGTGGAAAGGAAAAAGCTAATAAATGCTGATCAGGGATTTTGACCAAATCAATAAATACAGGCATGAAAATTGAAAAAATTTAATAAATGCTGATCAGAGAATTTTGACCAAATCAATAAATGTTAAGGTTTTTTTATTTCCACAAAGCTTGGGGGTTAAAAACCCCTTTTTCTTTATATATAGACTAGCATATCACCCGTGCTATGCACGAAATTAAAATAAAAAAAAAATATATTCATAGTTATGTCAAACATATTTTTAAATTGTTAGCTTAAAATATATGTAATTTTAAAAGAAAATATTGACATTGCATAATTAAAGTAATAAAAATAAGAATTTATTACATTTGTTCGAAATTCACTGAATAAGTAAAACAAAAAATAACTAAAATTTAAATTGTTGTGGGCCTTCTATCAGTATTCCTGCATTGTCAACATGATAGTTAGTATTATAATTAATGAACAACACATATATTATGTATTTATAAAATGTTATAAAGTAAAAATGTTATACTTACATTTTTTTTTTACTTTCTGAAAGGTATAGACATTCTTCAGACCAATTTATAATTATAATTTTCTTTTTCGTCAAAATACAATCTAATCATCATCAATAATTGGTACATTATGTGACCCTAATGAGTACAATATATTTTATTTTTCAAAAAATACAGTGTATTAAAAATCAAATCACAAATTAAGTGAATTGATAGTTAAAAAAATACAATAATTTTTTTTCAAAAAACACAGTAAGTTAAAAAAATCAATTACAATTTTTTTTCCAAAATACAATCTAATCATTAACAATAATTGGTACTTTAAAAATTAATAAAAAAATCAAATCAAATCAAATCACAAATATTTTTATTCTATCTAACTACAATAATATTTTTTTCATAAATAATTGTAAAAAAATCATTAAAAAAAGTAAATAAAAGATTAAATCACATTAAAATAAAGAACTATTGAACAATTACAATCACATCACATTTTTTTCATAGTAAAAAAAATAAATAAATGAAAAAAAGAACCATTGACTAACTACAATCACATTAAAAAAAAAAACCATTGAACTAATTACAATCACATTTTTTTCTTTGTGAGTGCTTTATATTTATCTAACTTCAATCATATTAAACATAAAAATAAAATAGTAAATAAAAAGATTCAATAACATTAAAAAAAATATTGAACTAACAACAACAATCATATAAAAAAAAAGAGCCATTGAACAAACTACAATCACATCACATTTTTTTCATAATAAAATAAATAAATGAAAAAAAAAGAACTATTAAACTAATTACAATCACATTAAAAAAAAATCATTCAACTAATTATAATCACATTTTTCTCTTTGTGAGGGTTTATATTTATTTAATTTCAATCATATTAAAGAATCAAAAATAAAATTAAAATAGTAAATAAAAAGATTAAATAACATTTAAAAAAAATCATTGAATTAACTACAACAATTATATTAAAAAAAAGTGTCATTAAACAAGTTACAATCACATCACATTTTTTCCATAATAAAATAAATAAATAAATAAAAGAACTATTAAACTAACTACAATCACATTAAAAAAAAATCATTCAACTAATTATAATCACATTTTTTTCTTTATGAGGGTTTATATTTACCTAATTTCAATCATATTAAAAAATCAAATTATAAATTTTTATTCGCTAGACAAATCACAAATATTTTTATAACTATTGAATTAACTACAACAATCATAATAAAAAAATAGTCATTGAACAAAGTACAATCACATCATATTTTTTTCATAATAAAATAAATAAATGAAAAAAATAACTATTAAACTAACTACAATCGCATTAAAAAAAAAGAATCATTCAACTAATTATAATCACATTTTTCTCTTTTTGAGGGTTTATATTTATCTAACTTCAATCATATTAAAAAATCAAAAATAAAATTAAAATAGTAAATAAAAAGATTAAATAACATTAAAAAAAACAATTGAACTAACTACAACAATTATATTAAAAGAAAGAGCCATTGAACAAACTACAATCACATCACATTTTTCCCATAACAAAATAAATAAATGAAAAAAAACTATTAAACTAACTACAATCACATTAAAAAAAAAAAATCATTCAACTAATTATAATCACATTTTTCTCTTTGTGATGGTTTATATTTCTCTAATTTCAATCATATTAAAAAATCTAATTATAATTTTTTATTCGCTAGACAAATCACAAATATTTTTATGTGCTATCTAATTACAATATTAAAACAGTAAATAAAAGGAAAAGTCAATAAGGAGAAAATAAAAAAAAGACTTACTGTTTGCATACGTGGTCACTGAAGTTGAATGTGTAGAAGTGAGAAGTCAAGAAAAAGAAAGCAGGAAAAAAAAAACTATTAAACTAACTACAATCACATTAAAAAAAAATCATTAAACTAATTATAATCACATTTTTTTCTTTGTGAGGGTTTATATTTATCTAATTTCAATCATATTAAAAAATCAAATTATAATTTTTTATTTGCTAGACAAATCACAAATATTTTTATACGCTATCTAACTACAATATTAAAACAGTAAATAAAAGGAAAAGTCAAGAAGGAGAAAACGAAAAGAAGACTTACTGTTTGCATACGTGGTCACTGAAGTTGAAAGTGTAGAAGTGAGAAGTCAAGAAGGAGAAAGCAAAAGGGAGACTCACTGTGTTGTAATAAGTATGTGAAAAGTTAAAAAGAGTGTATGTATTGGAAAAGTTAAAAAGACTTAAAAGAATTTAATAAATGTTAAATTTTTTTTTTTCAAAAAAAATCAAAAAAATTAAGAGAGAGAGAGAGAGAAAAGAAGCAACGAACGTGGGCGCTTAAGCGAGGAGGTACCCCAAAGGCAAATGCCTTTTTTATCATCACATATACACACCACGTAGCCACATAGCCATAGCCCCTCTCTCTCTCTCTCTCCATTTATCAACCGTAGTGTAATTAGAATCTTTGAGCCAATCACCAAGCAACCCCCAATATTATATTAGAACTTTCAC